AATATTAAAAATTGTTTAACATAATGTACTCAACTAAGCGTGCACAGTGGCGTGCCCACTGGGATGACAAGGTGTAGGGCAGTAGGACACATTAGGAGTTAGTTTTGCCCCCACTGTTATGGCAATGTTAATATTTTTGGAAGGGATAGTCATATTATGTAACTTGAACTCACAGAAACTTGTTTGTTGTTAAGCGCAAAGCTACACAATGGGCTATTTGTTTTCTGCCCACCACGGGTATCGAAACCCGATTTTAGTGGTATAAGTCCATAGATATACCGCTGTGCCACTGAGGGGCCTGACAGAAGTATCTCCATTCCACAATGAGACCTGGGTTTAATTTTAGTTCGCAAAAGCACCAGTCTGCCACAAAATTATGCAAAGAAAGCCTTAAGTAATTTAGACTTTTTTATAGTGAAAAAAGAACAACAACAACAAAAAAAAACGCTTCTTAAAGGCAAAAAAGTGTACTTCTTTTGTGTTTAACAATAGTTGATCCTCTCTCTCTCTCTCTCTGAGATGTCCACCCAATGGGACAGCAGTAAGTCTATGGATCTACAACAATCGGTGGACACAACAGATAGCTCGATTTGGCTTTGCTATAAAACGCATATACATACACACATCCTGATCCTGGCATGGCCTGGTAGTTATGGTATACGACTCACAAGTTGAGGGTTCGACGTGCTCGACTTCAACAATACTCAGTTCAATTACACATACACTGACTGCAGTTCAATTACTCATTGCCTCGTCACGTTGTGACCGTCTTATATATACAAGACTAACATATATCTAGTAAATGCTAGGGCATTCATGAAGGAACAGGATATTTCTAGAAAGAGGTGGCGTGATGCTAGTCACGTGACCTCGCTGACGCAACAGTATGAAACAACTTTTTAGAATTATTGTATTTGATGTTATTGCTTTTTCTCTAAGAAACAGAAAAAGTTACAGTTATTTAATTATTTAGTTTTTATTTTACAATGTTAGAAATACAAACAACGCTTAATCCTTAATCGCCTACCCTCCAGTGGCTCAGGTGCAAGTTTATGGAGTTTACGATAAAAAAACGAGTTCCGATACTCGTGTTGGACACGTTGCAGATACATCATTGCGTAGTTTGTGTCTAACTGCAAACAAAGAAATCAGGTTGCCTCCCTTGAGTGCCTAAAAATTGTTTTTTGTTGTTGTTTTGTTTAATTTCGTGTAAAGCTACACGAGGCTTATCTATATAACCGTTCCCAATTTTGAAGTCATAGACTAGAAGGAAGGTAGAGGGTCAACACTATCTACCGCCACAATTTGGCTACTATTTACCAACGAATAGTGGGATTGACTATTATATTTTAACGCCCCACGTCTGAAAGGCCGAGCGTATTCAGGGACAGGATTCGATCCCGCGACCCGCAGGCTGTTAGTCGAACACCTGAACCATCGGGTCCAGCTTGTAAATACTAAATTTCGGGGTACATCTCTAATGGGCAATGTGAAATTTTGCGCTTGAACAAACGGAACAAGAACAAAAATTCATAGAGTTTTTGAAGATAAGATGCCATCTTAGAAAAAAAAAGTAACCTCCATAGAACTGTTACAAGATAACTTATAGTGCTTAATATATAATATACATATAATATTGTAATTGTAATCGTAAACTTTTGGATGTCAGCGGCTAAAATGCATGATAAGTTGAAATATATTCTCGCTTGAGTTTCAATTAAAAACAAAATAACAACATCACCGAACAAATATGATTCAGCGTTCATCCGGGCAAAGGTTCTTTTTGGCCTAATATTCTCGATAAGAACAAAGCTTAGTACACAGATAAAGCTACATTTTATTCCCAAATATAAATGGTGTTAAAATCATTCTGTTTTAAATTTAAGTTACATGAATGGACAAATAATATAGTTATATCTTTAAAACTTTCTACGTAAACCAAACCAGCAGTTTTTGGTAAAAAAAAAAAAAATATTATATTAAACACATAAATAATAAAACTATCTAGTGTTCATTTTACAAACTAAAATAACCGATAGTACTATAAGTAGTGGTACTCTTGGTCTTAATGCTTATGAACACGACGTGTGTCGAAGTAACACCAATATTATGTGATTGAATATTGTGGATCACAATTATAATTTTTGATTTTATTAATGATGTTATCAGTACTAGATTTAAGACTCTTGAAACACAGGCAGATAAAATAGAAAGTTAAAACACTCAATACAGTAATAATACTATAGTAATTTTATTAGGTTATAGTATTACGATTAAACATAGATGATAGAGGGCTAAGTGCCTTAAAATTTAAATTAAAAATAGTTACATTTATTAAATGATTGCTATAACTTTAAGTTTAGGAAGTGGCTTACTTGACAGTTGTAAATTCAATGAAACTTGGTTATTTAGAATTCAAAATATTCAGGAATTTTGATGCGATTGTATTACATATTTTTGACGAAATTTTAATTTTAAAATGAACACTTTAGGACGAAAGTTTTTAGTCCCAGCCGCTTATCAGTTGGCTAATCTAAGAATGTGTAATTATCTTGAACCTGTAGGTTTTGCTGAACCTATGAAGATTCAATGTCATGATTATCATTTTTTACCCCCATTCGTACCAGTGTTTAGACAGGCGAAGAAGTTTTTGAATAAAATAGCTATAGCTGATCGTAATGGACAGCATAGCTACAAAGATCTTTTGGCCCAAAGTCATCACTTAACAGAAAGAATAAAAGATGCTCTTGATACTCAGCTTGGTTCCACGTGCCAACAAAGAATTGCCTTCTTATGCCCTAATGATGTTTCTTATGCTGTCGCACAGTGGGCAACATGGCAAACAAACAACATTGCTGTGCCTCTGTGTAAATTTCACCCAACTGCTCAGTTAACATATTATATAAGTGACTCTGAAGCTGCTTTAGTGATGGTAACTCCAGAATTTTTTGACACAGTTAAGCCCATTACTGATAAGTTAGGTATACCATTAATTATCCTAGAGAGTGAATGTGACTTGCCTGATATTCTACCAGGTGAAATAGATGAAGCAGAAGAGTGTAATGAGAATCTAAAGTTGAAGAGTGAAAATGCAATGATTATCTATACCAGTGGAACAACGGGTTCTCCAAAAGGGGTAGTGTTGACCCATTTTAATTTACATGCACAAACATCTTGTCTTATACAAAGCTGGGAGTGGTCATCAAAAGATGTCATTCTTCATGTTCTTCCATTGCACCATGTACATGGGATAGTGAATGCAATGCTCTGTCCGCTTCTAGTTGGAGCCACTTGTGTCATGCTACCCAAGTTTAATCCTTCAGAGGTATGTTTTGTGAATTATATTTTGTTACTTATTTTTATTGGATTCAGCACAGTGTATTTGTACAGAGTACTTAACTGGATTGCTCTTTACATTTTCTATTGTAGTTTAAGTGCTAGTTTGTAATATGTTAATTATTTCTTATATGGCCTATTACAGTATAAGTGCTAGTTTACAATATGTTAAAAGTTATTTCTTTGACAAGTTATATGTCCTATTGTAGTATAAGTGCTAGTTTACAATATGTTATTTCTTTGATAAGTTATATGTCCTATTGTAGTATAAGTTCTAGTTTACAATATTATTTCTTTGACAAGTTATATGTCCTATTGTAGTATAAGTGCTAGTTTACAATATTATTTCTTTGACAAGTTATATGTCCTATTGTAGTATAAGTGCTAGTTTACAATATTATTTCTTTGACAAGTTGTATGTCCTATTGTAGTATAAGTGCTAGTTTACAATATTATTTCTTTGACAAGTTATATGTCCTATTGTAGTATAAGTGCTAGTTTACAATATTATTTCTTTGACAAGTTATATGTCCTATTGTAGTATAAGTGCTAGTTTACATGTTATTTCTT